GTGTGTGTTTGTGTGTGATGATATGAGTAATTTGTGCGTGTGTTCTATCTGCCTCTCTCTGCCGTTGCTTTCTTCTGACTCTCTTGTGGCGCACAGCTGCTCTGCAATTATTGGCGCTGCCAAACACACAAGCACATGCACACACATGCCGTGTTTAAAACGCTGAGAATGCACGCACGCACAGGATTGTGGCTGCGGAGGTACTCGCGAAGAGGGAGGACGGGAGACCGCGATGTGTTTTGTCGACGTGTTGCGGGCGTGAATTTGGCGGCATGCAGGCAGGTGGGTATTGGGAATGTTGAGGGTGCCTGGGAGAGTTCGGATTGGTTACCGTCCAGCAGCCTCGTGTGCCAAAGTTTCTCCCATGCTGTGGATCCGTTGGTAGGGTTTATCCGGCTGTTCGGGGTGATGAGCGCCGGCGGCGGAGCGGGTGCTTTGGAGGAGACAACGGTAATACGACTGGTGGAAGCGTGTGGGTGCTGCAAAGGGAGGTTTTGTTCTTTTGCACCCCGCTGGTTGTTTCGTTTGGGCGTTGCTCTTTGTGAGCTGACGCGTGAATAACGGCTCACCCGCCGTGGCTCCTGCTGTTGGTGACAGTCGCCGTGTTTTTCCGGTGCACTGTTCTTTAATCTCCTGTTCCGTGTGTCTGTGTGCGTGAGTTGTTGTTGTTGGGAGTAAATGCGGCGGGGTGATAACGGTGCCGCTCACTGTGAGTGGTGACGGTGTTCACTGTTGTACTTTTATTGGCACGATTTTTTATTTTTAGCTTTTTAAATAAGCTAGGAAAAAAAGCGCGAAACGCTACTGTGAAGTTCAAAGGCTCTAAAATACTTAACAACAGCACACACACACACACATATTTATATGCTCTCACGTGTTGCTGCAGTGAAGGCACCCCGCACACACAACCGTCGCCGTATGACCGGGTCCAGCGGAAGGAGGAGGGAAGGAAGAGAGTGTGAGCCGCAGAGGCCCAACATGTCCCGGCATGTGTTTACTTCTGCGGTGCTGCTTTTCCTCGTCGTTATGATGTGCTGCAGCGGTGGGGCTTCGAACGCCGTGAAGAGTAATTCGGGGAATGCGCAATTGCCTCATACGGTCGATCTATTTGTGCCGCAGACGACGCAGGTGCTGCCGAATAAGGGGACTAACTCAGTCACGACGAGGGATTCATTTAATTCACCCTCTATTGTCAGTGCTGGAGGAGTAATTGTTGCTCTTGCCGAAGGTCAAGTGTATACCGTTAATGCTGGTAATCAACGTGAGAAAACTTCTTCTGATGTTGTTGCGGAGTACATTGACGCATCGTGGGATTGGTCCACTCTTGTTGGCAAGGTGAGTGAAAGTAAATGGAAGGCAAACACCGTGATTTGTACAACGGATGGAACGGATAATCGTGTGGGTGTTTTTTACCACCCCACAACCACCACGAATGGCAATAAGGTGTTTCTTCTTGCGGGAAGCCTTTATGAGTACAAACAAACTGATGGAAATCGGACATATAGCGGATTCAAACTACGACTTGAACTGGTTTTGGGTGATGTGAGGGAGCCTACGAGCAGCGAGCCGACTGAGCGGATCAAATGGGGCGAAATCAGGTCTCTGTTAAACGAGAGTACTATAGCTGCTCACGAAGGTAAATGGACGGGGTTTCTTGCCGCTGGTGGCTCAGGTGTCCTGATGGAGGATGGCACGCTTGTGTTTCCACTGATGGCGAAGAGCGGAAATGGTGAGTTTTACTCCATGATCATTTACTCAACGGATAACGGCAGTACCTGGGCGCTCTCAACGGGCGTTTCCCCTGCGAAATGCCTTAGCCCCCGCATCACCGAATGGGATGGATCACTTCTTATGATTGTTAATTGCAAGAGTGGCCAGAGGGTGTACGAGTCGCGTGACATGGGGAAAACGTGGACGGGGGCAGCTGGGACGCTTCCAGGCGTGTGGGCCAACCCAGGATTATTCTTTTGGGATCTGAGCTTGCGTGTGGAAGCCCTCATCACCGCAACCATTGATGGAAGGAAGGTCATGCTGTACACACAGAGAGGGGACTCCTCGGGGGAGAAAAGGGAGAGAGCGCTCTATCTTTGGGTCACGGACAACAACCGCTCGTTTTATTTTGGACCGATTGGCATCGACAGTGCTGTGGGGGAGGAGTTCGCCAGCACCCTGATGTACTCGGATGGCAATTTGCATCTGTTACAGCAGAGGGGCGATTATGAAAGCACTTTCATGTCGCTTTCTCGTCTGACGGAGGAATTGAGTACGATCAATTCTGTCCTGAAGAACTGGGCGCAAAAGGACGCCTTCTTCTCCAAGTTGTCTATACCCACAGCGGGTCTGGTGGCGGTTTTGTCCGATACGGCCAGCAATGGCACGTGGATCGACGAGTACCTTTGCCTGAATGCGACGGTAAGAAATGCCACGAAGGTCAAAGATGGATTTCAATTCACTGGGCATAGCTCCAGGGTATCATGGTACGTGAACACTCGGATTAATAATGTGCGTCATATATCCTTGAGCCACAACTTCACACTTGTGGCGTCGCTGATCATCGAAGAGGCTCCGAGTAATAACACTCCTCTACTGACTGCGACGTTGGCGAACAATAATTCCAATCATACCATGGGAGTGTCGTACAGCCACAACAAGTTGGGGATTATGTTCGAGGACAACACAAAAACACAAAGCAGCACTTGGGAGCCGAAGAAAGAACACCAAGTGGCACTCATGCTGCAAGGCAACAAGATCTCCGTGCACATTGATGGTGAGTCGCTGGGGGAGGAAGAAACGCCGTTAACAGGTGAGAGGCAACTTGAACTCGCAGGCTTTTGCTTTGGCGCGTGCGGTATGCAAAACTCACCTGTGACGGTGAAGAACGTCTTTCTGTACAATCGCCCACTGAATTCCACTGAGATGCGTGCAATCAAGGACAGGATCCCCGTTTCGACGAGAGCTCCAGAACCACAAGTGAAAATTGCTCCCAAACCTGCTGCACCTGCGGTGCCTGGCCCACGGGAAGTACCAGCAGCACCGGGGAGGACAACTGTGGGGAGAACCGCCAATACCCAGCATGCGCCAGCGGAACGCTTGACTTCTGCTGGGAATGAGGGGACGGCACGAGAAAAGGGTGATGGTGGGGCAAATGGTGATGATGGTTCCGCGTACGGGAGGGGACTGCTGCCGCTGCTTCTTCTGCTCTGGATGTGGGGATTTGCGGCTGCGTGAGGAGTGTGCGGTCTCAGTGAGGAGCACTTGCCCTCTTTTCTGCAGCAACACACACACACACCTCTAGGGATATATTTTACTTCGTAAAGAATAAATTTTTTTTTTTAACTTACTTTTCTTTTTTTTTGCTTGATGATTTAGGGCAAACACCATAAGCGCTTTTTTTTCTGCTTTTAATTTTTTCCCTTTTTGTTCGAGTATAATTTTTTATGTTTTTTTATGTTTGTTTTTAATCATTTTTGTTTGCTTTTTAAAAAATGTTTAAGTTTTTCTTTTTTTTTTGCTCCACTCTTCCCTTTTTTTTTGCTTTTGGGGCAATCACTATGAACGTTTTTTTTCTACTCTTCCCTCTTTTCAATTGTTTCTTCTGCACTCTTCCTGCGAGGGGTGCCGTGTGTTTCCCGCCCAACTGCTCCACTCGCGCACCCACCGACACGCTCATGAGGAGGGGCCGCTACGAACGGCGCGCTGAGGGAGCCGTGACGTGTGGGCATGCGACGATGGCCTGTGGGGCGGAGCACACATTTCTTTCTTTCTTTTTTTTTTATTGCGGCCAGGGCTGGCAGACACACGCAGCGCCACACACACAGCCACACCCCGCCGCCGTGTTTTTTTTTTTTTTTTCGCTGCGCTCACTCTCCCGATGGAGTGACGCGACTGCCGTCATGTCTGCGTGCTTCTCTCAGTCCCCACACACACGAGTGACTGAGCTCTGCAGGCCGCACTCACGCGCTAATGAGAGGGCTGAGGGGGGCAGCAACACGCAGATGACCCCATGAAATATAAACGATGTGCGGACACACATGGATGGTCAGGCGGCTGAAAGACACGTAATTATTTAATTTTTAATTTGCGGGCAATGTATATGCTGACAATTTCTGGAGCAACATGGTTGTTGGGTGCACCTTTTTTGTGTGGTTTTTTTTTCTTTTTTTTTTTCTTTTTTTTTATTTGTGTGGAACAGTAGTAGTGGACGAATTTTTCTTTTTTCTTTTTCATTTTTATGTGGAAAAGTAATAAAGGAAAACATTTTTTTTTTGTAGAACAGTAATAAAGGACGACTTTTTTTTTATTTTTATATAATTATTGTGTGCGAGGGGGGCTAATATATGATGAAAGGGAATTGTTATTTTTAATTGTTTTAAATGAATCTTGTATGAATTGCCTCTGCTTGTGCTGCAGCGCAGTTATGAGTCTGAGCAGTCCTGCTATTTCTGCCATGCACCTTTGCTGTGCATTTATGTTTGTACGTCCCTTCACATGCTCCTTTCATCTTTGTTTACTTCTTTGACTCGTGCTTCTGCAGGCACACACACAACCACATAGAATGCGCATTGTAGTGTATTTGGATGCTTATTTTGTAGCGTGTGCTGGCGGTTGCGGGTGACTGCTGCTTCCTCCGTGGGCATGAAGGGAAGGAGGAGAGAGGGAGCGCGCACCGCGAGTCACTCTTCCTGCGGGTGTGATGTACCACATGTGACCGCTTTGAGTCGGGCACCAAATCCCATTGTGGGTGGAATGGCTGGAAATGTTGTTGTCGCGTCATGGATGGATAAGGTATCGCTTCTGCGTGTGGCTCTTTTGGTGATTGCTTGCTTTGTATGTTTGCAGCGGGCTGTGGCCGTATGCCGTTGGCCGTGGGATTGAACTGGAGGCGGTGGCGGTGTGTATCTTTTCGTTCTTGTCCATTGGTGATTGATTGCTGGAGGTGTGTGCGTTTGTTGAGGCCGTCTTGCAGTTTCTGCACACAGTGAGCCGCAACTGCTGTGAAGCGCCGCGTTTTTCAGTATGGACTTTTGCCGTTGTGCGGTGTGTTTCAGCATATCTTTCGTTATGCGCGTGAGCGCCTTGCGTGTTTTACCGAAGCGTTGGGTGCGACCATCTGCCATGGCGACAATTTGTATGGTTGAGCGCGCGTGCGGGTTAGGGTTAGGGTTAGGGTTAGGGTTAGGGTTAGGGTTAGGGTTAGGGTTAGGGTTAGGGTTAGGGTTAGGGTTAGGGTTAGGGTTAGGGTTAGGGTTAGGGTTAGGGTTAGGGTTAGGGTTAGGGTTAGGGTTAGGGTTAGGGTTAGGGTTAGGGTTAGGGTTAGGGTTAGGGTTCGGGTTAGGGTTAGGGTTAGGGTTAGGGTTA